ATAAGAGGACGAGAGGGGTCAAGAGGCGAGAGGGGGGGATCAAGGGACGAGAGGAAGGGATCAGGAGCGAGAGAGGGGGATCAAGGGGCGAGAGGACGGGATCGGGCAGAGAGGAAGGCAAGGGGGAGGCAGAAGAAGAAAGGGCTCCGTCACTCTGGGCCGGGAGCGGCGGGACCCGCGGGCCGGGCGGGCTGGCGGAGGCCGAGCCGGCGCCGGGAGAGGAGCGGGGGAGCCTCGTGCGAGCGCGGCTCTCAGGGAAGATCAGAGGCGCTCAGATGATCACCGAGGCGGACATGAAAAAAACATGAAGCGCCGCTTGTCAGGACGTGCCTCGCAGCGGCTTCTTTTTTTTTCCTCCCCGGAAGGCACCTCCACAGACACGCCGCGCACGGGCGAGGGGGAGCCGGGGAGAGAGGGGCTGAGACGCACACAGACACACACTCACACAGAGGGGCCGGGGGCAGCGCTCAGCACCCGCCCTTGCCTTACCGGTGGAGTTGGCAGGCATGCTCTCCTTATTGCTTCCGAGCTGGAGTGCAGCGAGGGGTACTTGTGCTCAGGTAGGGTGGGATGCATGGCAAAATGCGGCTGTTTGCTGTTCATGGACATCATCTTGCAGGCTGGGCATGTAAATCCACAAACACTCCTAAAGTGAGGGCAAAAGTGCCGGCCGGGCGCTGTCCTCCTGCCTGGGGGAAGCCGCGGGAGCAGGGGCAGCGGCGGATGCGGCCGGCGGGGCTGGGAGCTCCCTCGGACCAGCCTCTCCCTCCAGCCTCCCGGTCTCACTCCTCTGTCTGCTCTACCCCAGCGCCGGGCTGAGATGCGCTCTGCTTACACCTGAGCCCCACATCTCGTGGCTTACAGGCGGGCAGGCTCTCGCGAGAGCTTGGGGCTCCGGCTTTGATAGACATCAGCTGTCCCACCCCTTCCTCCTCCTCCTCCCCCCCGCTCCCCCCCTCCGCTCTCCGCCTTGTTGCATCTCCCGGAGCACTCGCCCGTCGAGCCGGGGCCGGGAGCTGGAGAGCGGCTCCTCTGATGCCCACCAGGCAGGTGCTACACCTGTAGCTGCCACACATGCGCACTGCACGCTTTGCCAGCCCCCCACAGGCACCCACCCCATAGGTGTGTAGAGTGTGTGCCCGTGGACACACGTGTGCACAGAGCTGGTGGCAGATGGAGATCACCAGGGATCCTGGATTTCTCTGATAAAAAAAAAATCCCTAATTTTCTGTTTGAAAAAAGGAACCCACAACCCACTTTTTCCCATGATTAAAATGAAACACGACTATATATATGTGTGTGTATGTGTGTGTGTGTATATATGTGTGTGTGTGTATGTATATGTGTGTATGTGTATATCTATGTATATATCTGTGTATATACGCACACATATGTATGTATGTACACATATTTCACACACATAAATACGCGCACACACACATATATGCATGCATGCATGCATCTATCTATCTATCTATCTGTCTGTCTCCCTGGAGATCACTAGATTTGTCCGCACAATAAATTCATGGTCATCTTTTAGGCTACCCCGCGGTTCTTGTTGAGGAATACAGTGAAAAATGAATTCACACCTATTGTCTCCCACGGCCTCTGACCCTCTCTGCCACGCATTTGCATTTCCACAGCCCTGCATTTTGCATCTTGGCTTCTGTTCCATCCAGGAGAACACACAACACCCGCAGACTCTCCCTGTGCCTGAAGAAGGGTGCTTGTGCCCGCAAGCTTGCAAAGAACAATGTTTCCAGCTCTTTAGTTGGTCTAATGAAAGAGATGGCATTTACCCAAAAAACCTCGTATGTGAAAAATTAACTGTATACAGTGTGTCTATAGGGGTGTGCTGGACAAGTGAGGTCTTATATTTGGACAAGACGGGGCACATCCGTCCGTCGGCATTTAAAAGAACAGGCTTGTGCAGAAGGAGCTTTCTTTCCTACTCTGTTCCTCAGACAGACAAACGTGTATCCCCCCTCTAAGTATCCCGGCAGAGGGAAAGATGGTTGTCTGTGCTGAGGACTCTCCACACAGAAAGTGACATTTCAGCGTGAGCCTCTTACCTCCAAGAATTATAAATAGGCTCCTTGAGAATAATCACTGTGACAGACGTTGCTTGAAAGCAGGCAGGGTCTATTGATTTCCATATAATTTCATTCCCCCCCACTCCCCACGTCTAGTTTTGGTGATGATATTATTGTGTCAGGCACCACGAGCCACATCCACTTAGCCTGCAAGGAGCATGTGCTTTCTACATGGAAAACGCTGTCGAAATGAAATGGTGTGCTTCCTATATACATTCTTCTTTAACCCTGCTTTTCCCGCCGACATGATTTGAAACACAAAATAGCCACGGAAAGTGTGTGTGCATGTAGGGATGTGTATATATATGCGCACATGCATACATACATGCATACACACACATACATATAGATGTATACATGCATGTATATATGTATATATGCATATATATGCACACATACATACAGACATATACGTATCTATCTGTCTCTATACATACACACTTAGCTGTTGGTGTATATATATACACACGCACGTGCATATATATATATACACACACATATACATACATATAGATGCATGTATACATCTATATGTATGTGCGTGTGTATATATGTGTATATATGCATATATTTATATATATATACACACACATACACACACGTGTACGTATTAAAGTGTGTATTTTTGGTACTTTTGGGTAGTAAGACCTCAAGGAAACTAATCTGAATGCCCTTTTCATACAGTTTCAGAAGAAAAGACAAGGAAGAGGAGCCTGGAAAATAACGTCGTTGCGATTTGTTTTGTTTTTCTTCTTGTCTACGGTTTCCTCTGTGACTTTTTTAACTTCTGCATTTCAATGAAAAGGCCATGAAAACGCAAACAGAATAATGAGTCACACCCCTTCTACTGGATAATAATTTGGGGCTGTGGCCTGACCGCTTTTCGAGTGCAATTCTCACTGTGCAGTTCGTGTAGCTGAAACTAGTGACTGTAAAACCTTTTAATTAATCAGCCTGCTAATTTGCCTGGAGGCGGGGGGGTAGTGGTTAATCTGAATTTCCCAGGGACCAGAGCAGGTGAATCCCAGTGCGGGAGGCACTCCATTGCTACCCCTAGGTGATCGCCCAGATGTTACTACATTTGCTGCAGCAGTGTTACTGAAAAACACCAGGAAAAAAGCAGCAGGGGTGTTAAACCTCTCTGCCTTGGGTCATCTTTAAGAGTCTCGGGACATTTCTCTTTCTCCTGAACTGCGATGCATTCATATCCCTCTACCCACGCACATCAGCACCGGCATAGGCAGAGCGCATACTAAAATCCCAGGTAAAGTCCCCATTTGTCATCATAAGCCTTTCTCCAGTTTCTTATCCAGCCGGGGAGGAAAGAAGGGAGGACGTTCATTACTTGTGCGAGAGGGGGCCGGGTCTCCATCCATTATTGTGTCCCTTGGGATTACTGAATGCAACTTGATCTCGGAGGGCACGGGGGGGATAAACTGTAGTCTGAAAGATGCTGGTTTGAAAGCGGGGGCACCTCGCTGCTTATCGAAACAGCTGGCTAAGAGCAACAGCACAGGGATGGATGTAGTTGCATTAAACATGCGCCCTTGACTCTAGTTTTTGGAGGTGCCATGCTTTGGGGGTGATGGTTTGGAGAGATGAGCTCTGAAATCAGCAGCTGCTGGAAAGGGGGTGCTCCAGCGCGATGCAAAACAGCGCACTTGCCTGACTCCAGGCAGGCACCGAAGAGTCATCCCATCAGGGACACGGGGGCATTCCTCCCCGGGACTGCGGAGGGACAAGCTCCGCGCTGGGAAGCGGGCTTGATACCAGCAGAAAGCCTGGCAACATTTATTTCTAAGCTCTGACCAGCCCGCGGGGGAGGCCTTCACATGGGGATAAAAGCCAAAGAAAAGCAACCGCAGTAACAATGAGTTATGTCACGGGCTTGGATTTGGTCCTTCCTACCAGGCCACTCAGGGGGCTGGACAGCTAATGACTAGCGGATCAGTCACGCTGGCGTCCATCACAACTGCTAGAGGAGGCTGATCAACTGCAGTGGACATCTCTGAGCGAGGCAAGGGAGGAAAGGAGTGGATGGGGGCCAGGAGGTGTGTGTGTGTGTGTGAGAGAGAGAGAGAGACAGAGACAGAGAGCCCAGGCACCACTGTACCTTTTTTCGCTACACATCTCTGAGCCTGCCCTTGTTCTCCCGGGCGGCTGGGCTCCTGAACTGAGAGCTTTAACTTCTCACCCCTACTGACCTTTGGAGCACTGGACATTAGGCCTTTGCTGCCATTAATCAGCCCACCCTGGGGAGTAGAGCCATACGGTGCTAATTACATCGCTTCCAGAGGGTTCCTGCGTGTCCTTTAGGCCAAAGCATGTCCCAGCCTCAGCACGAACCAGTTACGTCTCTTAACCCCTGCACACTCTGAAGACAGCCTTAGCCCAGCCTGCCACGCTAAGGCAGACAGAGGTGCTGATTTAGAAATGCTTTTGCCCTCGTGGGCTAGTTCCTTTATCCCTACATCTTCTTATTCGGTTCTTTCCCTTCCTTCTAAGCCCGTGGCACTTCCCCCCTCCTAATGCTTTCCCACTCCCCATTAGACTCAGAGCACTCCTGAGACTTATCAGCCGTCCCCCAGCCCTTCACAACTGCTCTTCCCTCCACCCCTCACTCCCAAAACATCTGTTTTAAGCCGCTGGGTGTCTGTTGCCTCTGTACCAGCTCCTTCTGGAAACTTAGCAATGTAGCAGAAGGGGGGCGAAAGCGTGCCTCACTCCCTGCTAGTTTTCTCAGCCTGGGAAGCACCAGGGACTGAGCTAATAACGCACCTGGCTGTAGCTGTAGCTGTAGCTGTAGCTGTAGCTGTAGCTGTACCTGCCTGCACTACTGGCTGCGGACAGCTCAATTAAGTTTTGTTGTGTCAACTGGGGAGGGCTGAGGGTCACGCACGTTGGGGTTGGGGGGGGTGCAATGAGAACGGGGCGCAGATGCTCTGTCCTGTGTTTCAGCACCGGTAGGGCTGGACAGTTCCCCAGCTCCTCCTGACACCCGGCCTCCCCCTGCTTGCTCCCTTCCCTCAGGTTTGACTGATGCAGAACTGGAAAAGCCCATCGCATTGGAGACTGATGTCCCTGCCCGCTGCTGTCCACACTGCAAACAGGGGTTGGGATCATTTCCCTGCGGCTTCTTGCTCTTGCCTCCTGGGTTATTATAGCCGTGGAGCTGTGACACACTGGGCTTGGTTGAAAACTTCCGAGTCAAGTGTGCCTCTTCCAGGTGTCTCTTTGACAGATGCTAATAGAGAAGCGGGTAGGGAGAAGAGTATAGATAGTGTCTCTCTGACAGATGCTAATGGAGAGGATAGACAGGCTCTTTTCTACGGGGTTTAGTCTGGAGAACTATTTTGGGTCTCCCTGCCATGTCTGGTACGGTAATATAACAAATGGGGAGAGAGAAAGCAAAACCAAGGAGCCCTTTGGACACTTCTGAGATGGGGAGGAGGTGACATTTCAGGGGGATCCTCGTCTGCAGCACTCTCTTCTCTCTCGAAGAGGCTCAGACCCCTTGGAAAGCAAAGCAAGCCCATTATGGCCCTGATCCTGCCCCCATTACGATCAATGGTAGAGGGGGCGGGTGAAGACCAGTACTTTCAATGGGAGCAGCAACCAGGCGACTGTGTAGCATTGCACTTCAGATACCATCACCCCGCTTCTGATGGCTTTGGTGAGAAAAAGCCTCGGTGTGGAGTGG